GATATTTACGAAGGTGGTTTCAGCGCTAAAACGTGTGGTATTCTTAACTTTGAAGATCGATCACTTCTACAGACTTTACATCCGATATCTAGCTAATAAAGCAACTGGCAGTGGACCACTAGAATTTCATTACATGTTGTCTGAATTGAGCAGTAAGAAAATCCATTTTTCCAAAATTCATGTCACGTTTCCTATAATTACTAATTCTCGCTGCGGTCAAAGTGAAACTTTAAATTTGTGAACTACAGAAGATGGAGTGCAAAATATAACACACCAATGGTTACTCGCAAATTGAAATCAAATCAAAGTTTAAAGGTTTAGTTGTACATTATTTAATTATTTTTCATTATTTGGAGGTTTGCTATTAAAATCGAGTTACGAACATAGTAATCCGTAACGTGATTTTAATAGCTTACCTCCCATAGTGATGACAAATTACACGTATATAACAATCATGTATGGTATGGATTTTTATGTATGGAAATGCAATATTTTTAATTAATTTTTATAAATTTTCTTAAACTTAACACCTGATTTTACTCATTATATAAACAGCCCTAGCGTCGCCTAGAAAAAATGGTAGCCGGATTTTATTTGCCGGGTCACATATACTTATTAGGGTGACATATAATTGTGACAATTAGCATTTTTCTCTCAATAATTTCTCTGTCCCCAGAATACTTAGTAAATTGAAGAACGGCTGGGATGTGACGCGATGTGGCAAATTTGCTAACCCCTTAAACTAATCCTAATTCTACCCTAATCCTAATCCTAATCCAAACCCTAACTTTAATACTAACCATAATAATAAATACCCGGCAAATAAAATCCGGCTACCATTTTTTCTAGGCGACGCTAGGGCTATTATCTTTAACATTAAATAAATGAAAAAAAGGTCGATAAATTTATAGGAGGTTTGCATTGTCTACTATGTAGAAAAAAGAATACGCTTTCATTTTTTTCATATTCCGGATTATTACAGTTTGCTAAAGAAAAATTAATTCAAAATTATAATCACATATTTTTAAGGATAATAAACCAGGGAACGGGCCCGAAGCATAATTTTCAATAACAGGACATATGGACATTGTATTTGAATTGATAAATTTAAAAGAATTTAATTAAAGTCATTAAAAATTATTATCGTTCTCACCCATATGATGTAAACGATCTTGTTTTTTAATATTTTTAATGATATCACGGAGTTTATATGAAAATTAGCTAAACTAATAAATAACTATTAATAATTCTTGTATTAATACTTATATTATCTTATTAATTTATAATTATTACATTGTTTTTCTAAGGGTCTAATTAATAAATATCCCAAAAAAACTTTTTCTATCGAGTATTTAGGTAAGTTATTCTTTTTCACTTTTCGCAATATCAATTCAATTATGCGGAATACAGAATTGATTAAATTTTTATCAGCTATAATTTTTGAAATTAGTTTTTTAATTCTTGCGGTTATTTTTGAATATCATTTGGTATTTGTAATGGTTGACTAAAAGAATCTTTTTATTTTTGGAGTATAAATTGTTGTACTTCTATATTTTTCAAAAAAAAAATTAAATAAAAAAATCATCGAAGATGCATTACCATTAAAAAGTTGCTTTATCTTGAAATAAAGTTTTTAGCATACTAAAATAAAAATTAGTAAAATTTACCTTTTTTCGTGATTCTCAAAAAGTGGTTCTTCAATTTTTTAAAATAATTTGGTATAAATGACGAGAAAGAGAATGATAATGAACTTCTCTTCATAACATTATACTGTAAAATCACACGATAATATCGGTTGATAAATAATCAAAATTATTGTCCAATTTTTAATAATTGTAATTATATATGATTATCGATTAAAATCGATTTCGAATTTTATTAGAATCGACAGTTCCGAGATCGACAAAATAAAAAAAACCAAATGAAGAATTTCGATATGAAAATGAGTTTGAGATTTTGGCTAAAAAAAAAAAAAAACTGATACAATTTAAACTTAAAAAAGTTAATAAAATAAAAAAATCAAATGGAGAATTTCGATACGAAAATCGTAAAAACATTTTCTTAATTGTTGAATGAAAGAATTGGATACCGAAATGGTTTAAAGGCATGTGGTCTCCCTGGTGTCTTGTAATTTTTTCCGAGGTTATAAACAGTATATATATAAGGTCTTCGAGATTTCGATATGGGAAAAAATTATATCAAAATATTTTACTATGAAGAAAGGTTTATTATATACTGTATTTATCTAAGAAAAAAAAAAATTACATATTGAAATTGATCAATTACATCATTTATTTCCCATATTTCTTAATTTAAACTAATGACTGTACTTATCTTCTTCTTCATACATTAAACTTTCATTTGAAAAATCATCATCTAGATATTATAATTATTAATCTTTAAAAAAATTATTTGATCTGCACAGTTTTTGAAATAGAGATTAGATATTCATTTTTAAATCCGGATCCGATTTTTAAAATTAAATAAATCCGAATATATAAATAAACCCGGTTCCAGCCTCTATTATCATCTTCTTCATAAGGTAAATTTTTTAATTCTTCAACAAGCACCAGTGCTTCCAAATTTAAAACAACTCGATAAATAATGCATGCATTATTTTGGAAACTTTGATCTAATTTAAAATAAAAAGCAAAAAAAATCGCTTATTCTACATATTGATACAATAAATCTGTTAAAACCGACAAATTCGCAAAGTTGTTATCGAAACTGTCGAAACTTTCGAGACCCATCGAAACTCGTTGAAAACCATCGAAACCCATCGAAACTCGTCGAACCCATCAAAACAAATCGAAACCTTCGAAATAATTTCTGAAAAGTTTCGACTTTTGCCAAAACGGGTTTAGGGTTTTGCCCGCAACTATAGAACTTGGCTCTTTTCTTTTATTTAAAGTTCATCCTTGGGTAGGATCCATAAAAGTATTTTTTAATTTTTTATCTATTTTAATTTTTTTTTTATTTAGACAATTTCTTTCATGTTTTCATGTTGAATCGATACGTAAGATTTTTTTTTTTGAGAAGCTTCGGAGGCGATTTTTGTTTTAAAATGAGAAGATTCGGAATTCATTTTAGATCAAGTGTGGGGCAGACACCACATGTCATGGTTTCAGCTCTAACCGAAAGTGTCCTACGCTTAAGTTTCAGACAATAAACACTATAGCTAACAATGACTATTAAAAGTATTTCTGATAAAGGTTTAACTAGTGAAAACTACTTGAAATTACTAAACTATTCACTATAAAAATAGTCAGGCTTATGTATTCATATTCGAGAAACTGAAAACATTCCATACGAAAAGTACTTCATATTATACCCTGAGAAAATGGTCACATTTAGTTTCAATAGTTAATATAAACATGTTATCTATACTTACTTATTGCTAGAACGATGTTTTGTATTAACGAATCCATATTTGCATTGTAGTGCGTTACAGGAAAGGGGTTGTGTAGGGGTAGAAGGTATTTAATCTTCTCCAAAAATTTTGGAGAAGTTTAAACACCTTCTAACCCCTCCCTTACACACCAAATGTCTGTTCACTTCTTGCATGACAATAATTTTACAAATGTTCGGAGATCACAAGATACAAACAGGCGAGTAATAGATGAAGTCGAGCTTCCTTCCACTCGTTGAATTTTTCTCAACCATAGTCTGCTTCCATCGTTTTGAAACCATCATCCGAAACATCCGACCAACTTTCAGGTAAATTTTAATGAGTATTCCCAAACATAAATTTCTGCTTTAATTAACCAAAGATTTTTTCGGAATTTAGATGAAATAGAGTGTGTTCTTGAGTATTTTTTTTTTTCGGATGTAATATTAAATCTATAATATTTTGTCTTTTACAACAAGAGTAAATTGTTCATCCACTATTTAATTTTTTCTTATTTTATTTAATTTTTATTTTTAAAAAACAACCGTTATTTAGATTTCATGAAACATTTGAAAATTTTTAATTTTTTATCTTTTCTTGACAAGCTTCTCTATAATCTTGTAAGCTTTTTATATTGATATCATCTACTGTAAGAAAACGAATTAAAGGAAATTATTTTTAATCTTGCTTTGCATTAATTATAAATCTTTATAAGACTTCAAATTTTGCGATGGAATAATTCACTTCGCAATGAAATTACCGCCAAAGATGTAAATTGATTTAAAAAATTCAAGGGTTTTGAATAACGGGAAACATTTATTGCTTAATTATTTCATCTAATGATATGATTGAAAATTCCGCTTTTATAATTACTTACTGATCTACGTGACGTAATTTACAATATATAGGTTTTTGAAGCAGAATCGATATATGTTCATCTTCAAAATTTTTTAAAAAAAAAACCAGGATCGTGAGAATTAAACAATTAAACAATTAGACACTTTGCATAATTCCTTTTATGTAGTGAAGCGGGAAAGTGTATCCTTTTATTTTATATTTCGTTAAAGACCTGAGATTTCCCAAATAAATCCTTTGAGTTTAATGGATGTTTACCAGCACACATGATTCGCTTGCAATTTGACATTTATTGATAAGGAAAGGTATAATTTTCATATTTAAAAAAAAAGATGTTGACTCTACTATATCAATCGGTTCGATTCCTTGTAACAATAAATTTTATCTTAAATCAAGTGAAAATCCTTACCTGCATTTCAAATTAATTTTATTTTTATCTTGTAACTCATATATCATTTTATACCTACTTTAAACTATAAATCTTTGAATTTAAAACAATTTTTTCGATGGAGGGTCAAAAATAATTTTTTTTTTAAAAAAAAAAAATTAACATAAACTGGAAGTTAGTGGGTTTATTTGAAATTATTATTATTTATTTTTTTATATAACTTGTATCCAACCTATGAAAATTCAAAAGAATTCGTCACAAATTCTCAAGAAATGAGATACTTTATTCATGAACTTCATTCAGCATATAAGACATTGTTTTAACTAAAAAGAAAAAATTCAAATTCATCAAAATCCATATATTCATCACCTACAGATCCTCTTCTGTTCTGACAATTTCGAGTCATCATGACTCGTTACCTTTTGTTAACCACCTGATAAACTTTCGGGTTCGAATAAGCTTTTTTTTTACTGCCATAAAAAATATTTGTGATCAACAAATGACCGTCTGTAGACCGTAAATGCCTGTGACTAATACGAGGTGGACTTGAGCGTAAGTTTAAAATCTCCAAAAAACCGAACTAAAGTATATATAAAAATCTAAATTAACGTTTAGCAAAGATCATTCCTGGTCTCAAGTTTTATGTTAGGCGTTGACCGCAATACTTCGAGATAATATGACCGTTACATACATGTACTTACACAAAGGAAATCTAGTAAAATCATATCAATCCACCAAAGACGTTGAGCGTAAATTTTAAGTTTCAAAAATGGACTGGTGTACCTAAAGTAAGTTTATAAACAAAACTGGACTAAAAATATGTTCTTGTTCTACCATTTAATCAAGGAACTTCGGTATTCATTTCATCTTTTTTTTTTTTTTTTTTACCTAAATATTTACTTTTTTATTAGTAGGAAAAAGAACTGCAATAAAGGTGAGAAAAAACCCGCCAGTTTCCTCTTAACACATACCTTCTGTGTGATGGTATTATCAATTGAAGTCTTGTTAATTGAATTCGTTGAGCCTTCATTTGGACGTCCTCTTGTTCTGTACAGCCTTGAATACGAGATATTTCCTATGAACAATTTGGAAATGACGTCGACGATTCAAAGATGTCGAAGAGAGCAAATTTAGTATAATGTTTAAAAAAGAAATAATAAACCCAAAATAACATTCAAATGAAGCGATTGGTCAAATAAAAATGATTAATTACTCTTATATTTTATGCACCATGTTAGTTTTTCAAGGTTCAGTTAGAATAATTTGATCGTCTAAGCGAAGCTTTCGAAAAGTTAGAATTATCTTGCGTTTAAACATGTTGCAACTATGCACGAAACATTCCTTCCTATCACACTTCTAATAATTATCCGTCTAATATGTATGAACCTTTTACTGGTGGTGGTGACTGTTATTTGCGTTATGAGTAAATAAGCGCGGCATGTGGTCCATCTTCTTAAAACACGCCTCTAAATTATAGAAAATGTTTGTTGTAAAAGGATTTGTTAATGTTATATTGAATTTTTAAGAAATTTTCAGATCAACCGGGATGATTAAATAAATTTAAAATGGGTTAGCAAGTACTTGATTGAACCCAAGGCATGCTACATATGTCATTTTAATGAGTACCATGCCATGCGCTATTATTTACTTAAAAATTCAATAAATTTGCATGAAGCATGTGAGTCTGAGACATATTCTTCTTCACTAATATCATAACCTACTGTCCAAACTTTTGAAATCAAATTTACTCAAGAACATTAATTGTGCAAAATTTGAAAAAGTAACAGTAAGTTAATGTGCTCTAAAGCAATCTAATAATAATAATAATAATTAGGGAACGGGAACCGTTGTGCGTCCGAAGCGTTAATTTAATGCAACACTGATTTTTTATATAACGCTAATTTTGTTAACACGTAATCACGTGAAAAAATTAGAGTAAAAGTCACGAGTTTATGTTACACCTGATCTTAAATTTTAATTGGTTAATTTTGTGACAGACAAACTGCATGGTTTTAACTGTAACAGAAGTGTCCTTCGCTACGCTTCGGACAATAATTTAATAACTTGCAACCTAATCTGAAAGAAATTTACAAATAAAAAAAATTATTGGTAAAGATAAAATTAAAATTAAACTTATGTAGCCAACTTAACTATCGAAATCTATCGAAATATTCAAAATTATCTTGTAAAGTTTAAAAAATAAATTATTTTTTTTTTTTCTTCGTTCTTTTGGTTTATAAAAAATAAAAATAAAAAAGAAATTTAAAAAGTAATAAAATAAATGTGGGCAGATTTTTCGATATTATAGCGCAAGTGCTGAATCGGGCAGTATGTTAATAATAAAACTGCCTTCTACTTGTCAAATTGAATCAAATAATAAAAAAAATAATAATAATAAATTATTTAATGAAAAATATGAAAAATACGAAAATAAAATATAATAAAATTGTTTCAGCATGTAGAAAATGTAAGAATGAAAAGTAACAAAATGGTTTGATTTGTAATTTATATTTATAAATAATAAATTGACATCAATATAATTTATTCTTTTTAACAAAATGAAATTAAAGCAAAGGCCTATAAAACAAAATATATTAATTTTTGGTTCAAAATTAATTAAAACATTCAATCCAAAGAAAGCTATAATGTCACAAATTTGTATTGCTGCGAGTTTATTTATATATAATCAACAACTTATTTGTTATTTAAATTCAATATTAATCAAGAAAAAAAAATATTTTATGATAAAAGAAATGCTTGTATAAATGCTTGATCATAAGTTGAAAAGGTAATAATTTTTAGTTAAATTTTATCAAAATAATAAAAGTTGGTAGAATAGTTGTATTATTGATTTTTTAAATATTCAGGATAGATTTCCTTTAAGAAATCAGGTTTATTTGGCAAGCTTGTTATTTGAAGACAAGTTTCGTTAAGGAGTAAGGTAATGTTGGTAAGCTTGTTATTTGAGTATCATAGCAATCGAGTTTCTTTAAGGAGTTAGGTAATGTTGGTAAGCTTGTTATTTGAGTTTTTGAGCATTCGAGTACCGTTAAGGAGTTAGGTAATGTTGGTAAGCTTGTAATATCATTTTCAGCACAGTAAATATAAGTTAAGGAGTCAGGTAATGTTGGTAAGCTTGTTATTTGAGTGTTTGTGCAGTCGAGTACCGTTAAGGAGTTAGGCAATATTGGTAAGCTTGTTATTTGAGTACCATAGCAGTCGAGTTCCATTAAGGAGTCAGGTAATGTTGGTAAGCTTGTTATTGGAGTTTTATAGCAACGGAGTACTGTTAAGAATGTAGGTAATGTTGGTAAGCTTGTAATTTTAGTAAAAAAGCAATGAAGTTCCTTTAAGGAGTTGGGTAATGTTGGTAAGCTTGTAATATCATTTTCAGCACAGTCAATACAAGTTAAGGAGTCAGGTAATGTTGGTAAGCTTGTTATTTGAGTTTCACGGCAATAGAGTGTCGTTAAGGAGTTAGGTAATGTTGGTAAGCTTGTTATTTGAGTTTTATAGCAACGGAGTTCCGTTAAGGAGTTAGGTAATGTTGGTAAGCTTGTTAATTGAGATTTATAGCAACGGAGTTCCGTTAAGGAGTTAGGTAATGTTGGTAAGCTTGTTACTTGAATATCATGGCAATAGAGTTTTGTCAACTTTCGATATCTTTGCAATCCGCCGATTTTGTTCAATATTTCATCCTTATCTATAATAATTAAACTTTCAATTTCATCATCATAAATAATTAACGTTAATTCAAGATTACTGATTCTCTTTTCTAATTCATTAATAATTTCTTGCTTTTCTTCACGTTCTCTAATCTTTTCATCTAAATTATTGATATGGGCTTTGGTTTCTGCATCTCGCTCTCTAAATTTTTCTTCTAAATATTTGAATCGTGAACGCAACTCTTCGTTACTTTGCTCAAATTCCTTAATTTTCGTTTCCAAATCTTTTAAAGAATTTTCTAAATTTTTTTTTAAAACCATTTTTTTTTTTTTTTTTTGGACTAAAATGTTCGGATAGCTATTTCAAATGAGTAATTGCATACCTCAGCCCTCGGTTTAAATTTTTTCCAACTGAAATATTCCCATAATTAGTCTAATTTGCTCGGATAAAATAAAAGGATCAAACCCGTTCCTTGTCTTACCAAAATAAAGGTACTGCTTCTAAAGTTGTACTACCAACTTTGAAATTCGTGCAACTTATTTTTTTTTTTTTTGAGGTAAAATACTTCAAAAGAACAAAAATTATGAACTAATACAATGGGAATTAATTAACGTAAATTACAAAAAATACATTATGTAAATCGCTCCCAAATTAATACAATTTATTTATTGAAGAAAATTGTGAAGAAGAATAAAAAAAAAAAATTGCATACGAGAGGCGTTAATAATTTTCGATGTGACAAATTACAATTTAAAATCAGTTCTTTCTATGTACTGCGTGTAAGAATACAAGGAATTTACTGCGCCTTCTTAGGAGACTAATTATAACTAGTGACTATTCACCTTTACCACGCTGTCTAAAGCTTTCGGAAGCGAACCAACCCGAAGAGGAACCTAAAGAACGAAAAAAAAATATAAGAAATCATTCAGTCACTGTGCCCCGAAGCAAAAGAAATTCCCTAAAAAAAAAAATAATTTATTGAAAAGAAAAAATCAAAAATAATGTTAAGTCTTACACAGCAGATCGAGCTAACCCTCCGAAAAGAACCTAAAATAAAATAATCAATAATAAAAAAATGGAAGAATAAAACCAAAATCCAACCAGCCATCTTAAGGTTGCCGGGCAAAACCCGAGGTTTCGACAGGCATCGAAATCGAAACCCGTCAAAACGTTTTGCCAAATATTTTATTAAAGGCAGTATTGCGAAGGTGGCGAAAATTTCGACGGATGGAAAACCCATCGAATCCTTCTGATATTGAAATATAATTTTTGAATTTTAAAAATTTATTATTATTGTTTTACGAGATCAAATCGTATATCCGAAATTTATATAATTATAAAAGATAAGAAAAAAAAATATATCAAAAATTACATATTTATATGAATATATTTATTTTTCAAGTCCAATTACATCATTTATCTTCTAATTAGTATTTACTTCATTTAACTCAAGACAGTATTTGATAAACCAGATTCAAAACCAGAAAACTCCGGTTGCTGCTTCAAAATTAAACAAAGCAGAAACTATTTTTTTTTTAAAATAAAAAACCGTAGTTGAGTTAATCAAAAATTTGCTTCTAAATTAAGGTGTGAATTAGTTGATGATAAAAAAGGAACAAGTCACAGAATAATTTGAAGTGAGTTAAAAACAACTTCTCGTGCAGCATAATGTGTACGGTACGATTCGACTAGCATTGATGTTTGATATGTAAATACTTAATTGGGAAATCTGAAAGATTATCTTTTTATTATCATTAGTCCAGAACGTAAGCTTAATAGTGGTCAATGCTGATTGGCTCTTGCAATAGTTCTCCGTTCCCTAGTTTATGTGCGACGATATGATAATAAAAAATATTTGGTTGGAATCGGATCCGATATTCGAAAAGTAAATCCGGATAAATAAAATAAACTCGGTTCCAACCTCTATCATCATCTTCATAATGTAATTCTTCTAATCCTTACAAATTTAAAACCTCATTTTTATATTCTACTTTGTGATACAATAAAACTGTTTAAACTTGTCGAATTTCGCAAAGTTGTTATCGAAATTGTCGAAACTTTCGAAACTCATCGAAACCCATCGAAACTGTCGAAATAATTTCTGAAAAGTGTCGACTTTTGCCAAAATGGGTGTAGGGTTTTGCCCCGCAACTATAATCCATCTGCAACTATAATCCATCTATCGCTGCAGTTGAAATTTTCAAAGCGAAAAATAAAACCAACCCAAAACTAAAAATAAATATTACTTAATACTTTCAGAAAGTGTTCCAACCCGAAAAAACACGAACCTAAAGAAAATCCTAAAAAAAAAAAAAAAAATATATTGTTCCGATTTGAAGAGGAATTAGAGGTGATCTGAAAGAGGAACTAAAGGAAAAACAAGGCATTTATCATTTTTGACAATTTTCTTTTTTTTTAATATCGATCTAGCCAGTTATGATTAGGGCATTTAATTGATGAAAAAATCATAATCGATGATTTGATCGGTCCCTCACTGATCGATTAAAAATCGAATTACTTAATTGAACACGTGTGATCGATTCCTTAATCGAATGCATTGTCGGTCAAATAATAAAAGTGATCGATTTTAAATTGATCGATCATTGATTGATTGATTTATAGTTTTTATAACAAAATTTTAATCAAATATAACAATTAAAATTCCTAAAGATTTAATATTTATTTTTTTCGTTTTACTAATAATAATTTATTACACATCATTACTAAGAAGCCTGTTCACTTAGAACAGAAGTGGCTATAACACCAAAATATTTTCTAGCTATTTTAAATAAAGCTGGAAACTTCTGTTTATTATCAATCCACCATTGAAATGGATTCATTGCAGGTAAACTTGTGGGGTTCTAATATTATCCAAGCTGATTAATATCTGAAGACAAATCAATATTATTATTTTTCTTAGTTGGCTTGAAATAATTTAGTTTGTTTGTTCTAGCATTTTAAGATTATTAAATTAAAAGTTTTTAACGTTAAAACGTTAAAATTAATTGATGCATTGATCATCTGATCTTATAATATTCAAAATTTTAAATATTATATATATAATAAATAAAGACTCCAATACTCTGAAATGCATTTTCTGACAAAAAAAAATAATTCATGTAATTACAAATAAAATAACTTTCAATGTAAAATATCAAATACAAACTATAACGATATTATACATAATCGATCGTAAAGTAATTGTTGATCGATCAACTACAGGAAATTTAATCGATTATAAATCAATTAAAGTTAGTCCAATTTTGATCGAATCCAATTATCTGTGATCGAAAAATTGATTGACTCAATCAATCATCGATCCTACTCGATTCGATTAAGAGCCCTAGTTATGATCGTAGGTTATTTCAAAAATTCAATAGAAAGTTACTTACAATATATATTTATCAAATAATCTAACAATTTTTTTTACTTATTAAAAAAGAATTCTCTCATTAACAACCTATGAATGGAATCAAGTGACTCTAAAAAAGCGTTTATTATGATTACATTTTTCGCTAGTTAATGAAAAATTATCGTCATTCAAGTAATTTCTTCATAGTTGCAATATGAAAATCAAACTTTAAAATTGAATTAAAAACTTATTTTGCCTAAAAAACTTAAACTGAACATGCAGAAAAACCAATTTCAGCGCCAAATGGATTAGGATACATTATCAATTAATAAAGTCTTAAGCCAATTAAAATGAATTACTAAATGACCAAATGGTCCGAATACTGGAGATTGATGCTAATAGAAATGGGATTTATACGTTCTTTTGGTTAACAAAATAAATCACGTGATCCTTCACATAAATACTGTTAACGAGAACTACGTACCTCCCTCTTAACAATGCTGTTGCTGAAAATTGTAATTCTAATAGAATATGTTAGACGTAATTTTTATTTTGAAAAAGTTTTGAAAGATAATAATTCATTTAATAAATCAATCTAAATCTCGATTTAATTTTAGTTGCTGAATCATGACAGTAAAGTCAGTAACTTTTTATTTACTGCTATAGATCTTTATGTAGATATTTAATGTATTTTATAAGTATTGTTTTTTCTTTTAATATTATTTAGTCGAATCGAGGAATTTTAATAGTTTTTCATTTTATACTAAAGGTTTGAGTAATATCAATTAATATATGATATGGGTCACATTGACAAAGTTATGTCAAATGCATAGAGTATGTTTTAATATGTTGAAAAACTTATATTTCTTAAGAATACTAATATGTATTTATTTATGTATAACAATTCCTTAGATTAATTACAAAAATTTTAAAAATTTTATATTGAATATGTATTTTATAGTGTCCAACAGAATCTCCATACTAATTGAACAAAGATAAAAACTTTGCTTTTAATATCTTATATCAAAAATCAAAAAAATTAGGATCGAAATTAGTTATTTGCATTTTTACAAGAACGCAAATTAATATGTAAGAAATCATGACCATGCCTTGTGAATACGATACGACAAAACATCAACTTTAAAAAAATAACCGATAATTTTTACTTAAGGAAATTATTAAAGATGGAAATCTTTACAGTAAAGAAAATTCAATTTTCAATTGATACTTTCTGCAAGATCTTTTTTGTATGGTCAAAAATCTTGTTGCAAAAGTGACTGCGTAACTCTATTGTATCATTGAAAAAAACATTGGAATATTCTTTTGATCACTTCGAGCAATAACTTGAACAAATAAATGTTATACAGGACAATAAAGGAACATAAGCAATTTATTTTTAGAAATAAATCCATAAAATTTCTAGTTAGAATGATAATTGGGCAAATTCCGCGTCAAATATAGATGCTTATTTTCGAATTATTTATGGGTGATAGGGCTGCGCTTATTACCAAATTCTTCGAATTAATTTCGAATTAATCGACAATAAAGTTTAAGTATCCACTCAAAATATACCCACAACGAAAATTTCCTTCTATTCTATCTAAACAATTTTTCAGCGTAAAATATTAGAACGTTTGTTCGTAACGCTTTTTTATTTTGGATAATATTCAAGTATTTTTTTTATTGATTAAATACCTTCAACGCTTTTCTACTCTTTAACGACAACAACATAATCATAAAGATTTCCATGGTCAAGGTCTAGTCATACCTTCATTGATACCATGTGTTAGAGTATCATGAAACTGTTTAGAATACATACGTCACTAGATTATCTAGAATTTCGGGTTGCTCTAATTATTCATTTCATTTTTTTAGGTCTTGGATTTTGCAATTTGTGGTAGATTTCTCATTGTAGGTTGTTCAATTACTCATAAATAATTTTTCTTACGTCAATTCAAACGTTTATAATGGGCTCAGTGAAATTTATATTTATTCAAAAGAAATCAATAATTTTTGTCGAAGACAAATAAAAATCGGTCATAATTTATTAGATTATTTAACCTATCCTATTTTTGTGTTTTTCGCAATTAAAAAGTATTAAAGTATTTATAACCCTTAATCTTTCAACAGTTCAGTTTAAAAAATCACATGAATTAAAAATAAATTAAGAAATATAACGATAATTTAAAATCGCCTCAATAAACGTCGAGGCATCCTTTTAATTTTACACCAATCAAGTTACTTAAAACAAAAACAAAAAATTTAGTTTATGCTGTAATACTCTGAAATTAAACTTCGGTTAGAAAATAGAAAATTAACGTACATAATTCAATGATCCTGTACAAATCTATTGGAAGCGCAAAACCCGAAAAAAAATAAAATAAAATAAAATACGGTCGCTGATTGGTTGACAAGATCGAAATTTTTTTATCGTTTAATTTTCGAAATTAAAACTAACTTTATTACGCGCTCTGTATTAATAATATAACTTAACTCTTTGTAACCTTAAATGTGCCAGAATTTAGTAACTTCGTAATCAAAATCATTCAAAATGAAAGAATGTTTGGCATACATGTACTGGGTTTTTCTTTATTTCTTTTTGAAGATTTTTTATATCTATTTGGCGAATACCGTCATTTTTCATATTCTTATGATGTCTGATTTGTTAATAATTTTTTTTCCTACAATAACGTATTGTATGTACAATGAAACTATTAAATAACCATTTTTAATTTTTATGTTAAAAAAGCAACAGTAAAAGTTATACCTTTTATTTTAAACAAAATAAAAATTAACTATGATCAATAATTTTTATTTAGCTCGACAATTTTTGTACCACAGAAAAACGCACGAGTGATATTCCATTATATAGTAAACTAGGGAACGGTTTCGGAAACCGTTGTTAAGTCCGGAACAACCACGTATCGACTCAAATTTTGAGACATATGGCTGTACTACTTATTTATAATATTAAATATTCAAATAAAAATTTTTTTTGAAAAAAAGATCAAATTTTTCAATTCCCATTTCTCAAAAAGTGAGATATTCTACATTTTGCTAGTCCGGACTAATAAAACACTGAAATTCAAGTTTACCAGAAAATTAATTGGTTTTCCAGATCTCTTGATAAAATGACTGATTTTATCATAAAATTCTTTTACAATCTCAACTCATTTTCGATACTTTTATAGGAACAAAAATCGGGAAGTAGTGTATGTATCCGTAATTTTGAAAAAAATTTCTAATTAGAAACTTACGTGATTTCCTTAATTTATTATACATTGACGAGTTATACAAGAAAATCCTTTTAATATTTATTACACGTTTTAAAAACTAGATAAGAGACGATTCATGCTCATTTAAAAAATTTATTTTTTTTTAAAAATATTTTGCATGGATGAAAAAAGAAGCAGATGGCTTTTTTAACAAAAAAAAAGTTTAAATAGCAAAAAAAAATTTTTTGTTTACTATTACTAAAGTTCACTACTTTCAAATAAAACGATCTATTTATTTGATACTGCAAAAAGTAAAATTTTACTTCTGATTTTTATTAGACACGATGTATTAGAATGAATTTTAAAAATTTCGTTTTAAATCTTTGAAACTCGAAAGTGTGCTTCTTCGGAGACATTTCATTTGTTTATAGAGTTATTTTTCGATGATTTTTTTTTTTGTTTTACATTATCAAGACTTTTAAGAAACTTTATCGGTAAACTTTAATGAAAAAATGTATTTTAAATACTAAAAATACTAACTAAAACGAAATATACGAATAAAAAAAAAGTTATAAGTTCGTAACAGAAATAACTTAAAAATAAGATTTTTTTTTTTTTTTTGTGCATTTTAATATGTTGGCAAATACTCAAATTGATAAAAATATTTTTAAAAAAGGATATGAATCTGAAATTTATAATTACCAAACAAGTTAACGAAGAATTATCATATGAATAATATGTACATATTTTACGCTTTATTACCTTTTTCTACTGTAGCAAATTAACATGAAAATATTTTATAATTTGTTTCACATTATAAATACAATATCAAGTCCGAAAAAAAAGGATTTTATTTTTTTTTTTTGTCAAGATTATAGCTGTATATATGAACTATTTCAAAAAATCTTTTGAAGAGAGAAAATCATCCATATTGGAATTTTTATGTTCCGAAGTTAGCTTAAATTTTCATAATTATTTGCATTAATATTTTTTTTTATATCTTTTTTGAAAAACTTTAGAAGTCATAACAATGATTCCGCAATGTTCAAATGCAACAATTCTTTGATGATTGAATTAATGTTCAAACGAAAATAACAAATAAACTTAAAATGTTATAAATCAAATTTAGACTTGTAATCATTATCTACCTATAGATAAAAATTATCTATTTATTTACATAATTGCAAAATAAAAAATCGGCTTTAATATTATCCTTAAAATTCGAGTAAAAAAATCAGAGTTTAGCTAGTTTAACTATAATCAGGACAGGTCATTTTTAGTAAACTTAAAGCATAATAAAAAAAGAAAATTAATAAACATAGAAGAATAATGAAAAATTTATTATATAAATATGAGATAACAAGATATAAATAAACATATTCTACGAAAATACAACGTTAAATATAACATAAAAAAACATATGTTTTTTTATAACTAGAAATAAATGGGCCGTCATTAGCCACTAAAATTATTACAATTATTAAAAGGTTGTTGTAATTGGTATTGTGAGTTATTAATAACATTATTTGAAGAAGAATTGTCTACAGGTATGATAATAATCTTAAAACCAGGGATATCAAAACTAAAAATGTTATTATTTGATTGAATAGTATTAGTGGCCATGTTAATAAAAGAGATGTTGTTAGCGGATGGCGGTGGATTAGCATTAGCATGACCAGCATGTGAGGGAAATGTCGAAGGGTATGGTTGAGCTGAAGCATTAGAGTTGCCCATAGATGAAGTCGCATTTCCGTATGAAATTGATCTATTATTGTTCATCATGGGATGACTATACCCGTAATTAATATTTGAAAGAATATCGTTGTAGTTTTGTGAAGGGTTATTGGGTTCCATTTTATATATCGTGTTAATTAATTGATTTATGAAATTAATAAATTGAAATATTTATTTTTTTTTTATTTTGAATGAAGGTTTTTGGAGCTCTTATATATTAAATTTTTAGGATCGACATTTGATGCAACTCAGGCCTGACTCAGTTACATTGATGAATTTTTTTTTAATTTTTATAAGCTTGATTACAGATAATGATTTGAAAGTTTGATTAAAAATTGGCGTTCGCGTTCACCCTGTTTTAGTAACGATATTCATGCAGTGTAAATATTCTAGCAATATCTGATTCCAATTAACCCACAAGACATGTTTATATAAGGTGATGTGTTTCGCGGACTAATAAGTAGTCTAGCATGAAATAATGCTTAATGAGAACAAAGTTCCGATGTACAACTGGTTTGTTTGAAAAATCTTATGAATGAGTGCATAAATACGGAACAATAAAGAGTAAATTTTTTATTCTTGTCATTTGAATTTCGTAAGTAATGCAATAATCAATGATGTATTTTCCTGTGAAATTATTTCAAATAGGAATTTATTACTTTGAAAACTTGATTTTTTTATTTGGACCAATATTTAAGTGCATATGAATTAAAAAGTAGTACGGTATTTATGGGAATGTTTAACGCTAATAATCATGTTTATATTTGGAAAATTTTTTATTTTTATTTTTTGATTGTTTGGGCTTCACCCTTAGTATTGTTCAATAAAGAAAGGTATATTGCAAACTGACTATGAAATGCAGGTTTTAAGATAAGCTTGATATAGAAAAAGCATTTTTTAAAAATATTACATTATTAATAAGCATTTATTATTTATTTTTACGTCAAATAACAAGTTTTCTTATCACGGGAGTAAATACCTGCCGGGAAATATAATAGTTATTTACCGCTCAAATCTTCGACATCATCAAGGTCACGGCTGCGCCGTGACGTCTGATGATATCGGTAAATACCGAAAATAAAAAACAACTTTTTTGTTATAGTGTTGAATATGCGCGTCGCTATCAAATCATATGATTTTTGATGATCGAATTTCATTCATTAACCTGTTTTATTCTGTACAATGGCAAAACGGAAAGAGAGTTGTTAAAACTATTAGACGTTGTTAGCCGCAGTTTATGCTGAACCTTAAATGATCTTCAACTGCGCCAAATATCATACATGTAATACATGTATCGTTTGATCGACTTTATAATACATGTATCGAATAGTCTACTTTTTAATATAAATATTATATAGTTTACTTTTCATTACTTATATTATTTCATTATATGTATTTATTGTAAGGCGTAGTATAGTATTAGTTAACAATTTTATATAAATAGACCTGTAAGTTGACCTTGAGTCAACAGAGTTCAATCAGATAGTTTTCTGAATAGTCTTGGGACTAGACTTATAACTCTACAGTTTAATAAAGTTACTATTTTACACTTTCAACCTTCTTCTTGTCTTCATCATAGGATTGATCGTGATAACTTACTACACAAGTGAATCGTGATAATAAATTGTTTTATTTGTTAATTGTTAATTTCTCTTAGGAAAGGTCTTTGAGATAATTGTGTTATTAAGTTTATTAGTTTTGTTAGCTTGGTTCGAGATGATTCCAGGTCTAATAGTTTGGTGATTCCTGCCAGAAGAAAGACCTTTGAATGTTAAATTGTGAATGAATTTAGATTTATATTACAAACTTCAAGAAGCACATATTGAACAACATAACAAAGGACAAACGACCTTATCAACTGACTATACCTGTTTGAATTATCACCCAATACCAGAAGATATCCCTAGGAATTTTAGGAACTTTTGGAATTGGATTAGCGCAGAGTTTGGAGCAATTATATTCACTGGAAAAACTATATCACTATTTGACCAATTATTAGAAAAACTTGGCACTCTAATCTTTCTTGAATAACTGCAACTTGATACAACTACAGCAGCATATTGAAAACCACTGCAAATTAAAGTTGAAAAATTATTATACAGCTTAACTTTTATCAACCCTAAAATACTTGGATCAGATTCAGAGTTTATAACTTCAAGTGTAATTAAAGTGGCAAAAGAATCAAACTTCTTTAAAAAACCAGTCAAAACTCAATTTGATCCAATAGCACTATTAGAAATAAGCCCTACTCTGACCCCAATCAACATCATGACAGGAGAAGATAAAAGTAACAATCAACAAGGTGGATCAAAACCACCTAAACAAGGACCTTGTAGTAGTCCTAAGGAAGAATGAAGAAGTGATAATAAAGATTACAGAATTGAAAATTATAAAGCATTAGGCAATAATGGTATTGCAGCAATCATTAGACAAATGAGTGATTCTTTTAAAGGGATTGCTAAAGCTCAACTACAAGCTTTTCCAAGGGAAACTAATATTATACTAGTGTAACCATTTTGGGAAAATGATAGTGAAGACCCAGAAGAATAGCTTAAGCATTTTGAAATAGATGCGACAGTAAATAATTAGACACCTGAAAGAAAATGTAGTATTGTTACAGAATATCTAAGAGGATCAGCAGCATTATGGTATGATAATATAGTAGTAACTATTCGTTATTAAAATATGCAAGGATAAGTCAATGCAAGTTTTGTCTCTATATTTAGAGCTCATTTTACTATAGCTAGACAAAAGAATAAATGGCATTACAAGTTATTTAATATCAAACAAATGATAAATAAAAGCATAGATACTTATATTACTAGATTTAATAACCTTAAAAGAAAGATTAGTTGATTCAGGTAATCATTTACTAGATAATTACGAAATTAGACTATTTTTAAATAGACTAAAACTTAACATTACAGTAAGAGCCACAATGGCAGATCCTGGTAATCTAAGAGCAGCTGTTAATGAAGTCAGAGCAATTAAAGTGAGAACATATTACATGAGAGAATCTCCACAAGTCACAAATAATGATGCAATTAAAGCTATAATAAAACAAATAGAACAACTCTCTCTTAACTATGCAAATATTGTTAATATATTAGCAGCACAAAATAGAACTCCTAGGATTATGAATATTTCATTCAAAATATAAATGCTGTAAGAAATAATAACAATAGGAAACCTTTTGATAAAAGTCATGTAGTTTGCTAGCAATGTGAAAAAAAGGCCATTATTCTAGGGAATGTTTATCTGAAAGACCTTCTAAATTAAAACAAAGAGATTTTAACCTAATTGAAATTTTTACTGATGATAAAGGAGAAGAAGAAACATCTGAAGTATATGTAGGAGAAAGGTCTCGACCATATGGGAGTAAATCAGGTTCTGAGAAATTTTTGACTTAAATTAAGAGCTTAATACATTTTAATCTAATAACATCAAAAACTAAAATGCAATAATAATCTCAATTTTGCTAAAAAATTTTCAGAACCTGATTTTCCTAGCAATCAATTCATATACTACTAATAGAAAGTATGCAAAGGCACGACAAAGGAAAATGACCAGAATCTCTAAGTTGAATAAAGAGATAAATCTTAGAACTCGTATAATTAACCTAACTAGAATGAAAGTAGAGTCTACTCCTAAATAAAAAACAGTTAAAAGAGCACAAAATCTGTCTATAGTTAATAATCTTGCATCATATAATATAGCTGATGATATTCTATCAAAACAATTCTCTGCAATTTTAAGATAATGGTTACAAATACTAGCTCAAAGAAGGAATTTAACAAATGCTTTAAGATATCATTTAGTGTCTGTAGATAATAAACAGGAAAAGAAAATAACTTCTTATAAAGCATATATTAGGATTAAAAATAATCCTATTGAAGCTATAATTGATACAGGAGCAGCTGTCAGTATTATTATCAACAAATTAGCCAAAAATTTAGAACTTAATATTGATAAACCTTCTAAATTAATTGTAATCACAACAATGAAAGTCGTGTAAGAGCTTTAGAATAAATTACTGAAGCAAGAATAATCATACAACATATGCCATCCCAGTAGAACTTAAAGTGATTGAATCTCCATAGGATATATTATTACTAGGAGTAGATTGGCATAAAAAAACTAAAATAAATCTTGACTTTAGTACGCAAACTGCTTCTGTCTCATATATTACTAAAAGAGCTACTTTTAACTTTCTCTTTAAAGAAGGAAAAGTAAATGAAAGGGAAAACTTATATCAAGTCTTGGATGAATATGAGGAAGAAGACTTAAATGAATATGATGTATTCTTAAGCGAAGTTGAAAATAATATTTAACCAAAATATGTAATGAATATTATGTACGATCATTAGAATATTATAATATTATAAAGAATTAAATGTATAAAATGTGATAAGTATCAGATGGGAAGGTAGAACCTAATGAAATACACTTTAATTAGTATTAAGGGAAACACATGAAGAAACAGGCATTCTAATTAAATCTGAATATGTGGAATATCTTTTTAATAATGACTTTTATTACTGTAATATATATATTACTAGAATCACACCAAATTGGATCTTTAAACAAACTAAACTGGAAAAGTAAGAAAAATGGTAGCCATTTTATTTTGAAAAATATGCAGATATAACAGAATAAGGAGAAATAATCCCTATTCATACCAAATATGCAGACAGAATCTTAAAAGAAATTCATATAAAATAAATACACAAGTGTATATTTAGCTGATCTAACAAAGGAAGAACAAGAAAATCTAAACTATAAAATAGACCATTGAATACTCATCAACAGAAAATTTTTCAATAAACTTTTAAAGAAAATAGTGATTTGTGTGCTAGAAGTTAAACAGATACAGAACAAACTACTATCATCAAATATTCAATAATTCTAGAAAAAGACACACCAATCGCACAAATAACATATAGATGCAGTCCAGATAATCAACAATTTCTATATCAAGAAATTGAAGAAAAGAAAAAGAAAAATATAGTTAAAAATCAAAGAGTCTATGGGCCTTACCAGTTGTAATTGTAGCAAAGAAAACTGAAGATAAAAGAATATGCGTTGATTACAAAAAACTGAATGCAGTTACAAAGAAGAAT